TGCCACTCTCTATCAACGTAACTACTGAATGTACAATGAGTTAAGCCCAAAACTAGATGCAGACCACCTAAAATACTTTTAACAAATAACAATTACTTTCAAATATCGAGTTTACTGCTCAAAGATATTAAATGCAATTTATTTTTTCTTTTGGTTTTAATTTTTCGTTATTCTTTTAACCCCTTTCAGAAGAGTACGTAGGGGAAAATAATTTTCACTTAGGGTGGTACATAGCATGAAGAGAAATCATTAGTTGCGACATTTACTTGGTCAGTACTTAATAAATGTGAGTTTTGAATTGTTCAGCAAAGTTATCAACTTATGGTTGTATAATTTTGCTGTAAGAATTGCTGTAAAAGTGTGAAATATGCAAAATGTTGGGGTTCTATTCCTGGGAAATGTGGATGAATCTAATGCAAAGGTGAGGTTATTCCTAGGTTGTATAGAAGCTGGCTCCACCTTACCTCTTCTAGATGATGTTCACGCGGTTATGTATTTTTTGTTACTAGTTATATACTTATGTTGCTTGAGTGGTGATATTATTTTATTATTTGAGTGCTGATAAATGATCTGAAACCTCTGTCCTAATTGGTTTTTCTGTACTGAGCCTGATCTAGATCAAGGAATCCTCAGTTAAAGTCATCAATATTGAATTCATTTTAATTTGTGTTGCCTAATTTTTAATGATCAATTATGCTGCTCTTCTATGATTATGGCAGTATGGCACATGATGTGCAAAACAGTTATGCAGGGTGCTATATGTAAGGCCAAATAACTTAAGATTGAAAGCCATCAAGTAGAGTGAAGCATTGAAAGGGGTTGTTGGCACTTGGCAGTAGCACATTCTCACGGTGGACAGTTATGAATAAGGGGGATGATTTTGCAGGGTTAGTGTGATATTTGTAAAAGGAGTGGGTATTCTACTGATTACAAATGTTGCTCAGTTTTTGTCAGACCTGTAGTGTTTTGCATTGGTTGAGTGTTGGGTGGTGCAAGTTAAAGTCACTCCTCACTAATTAAGTAATTCATAGGTTACGGATGTAAATATAGTGCACGTAGAAAATTATGGAAGATGACAAGTCCATAAGATGTGTATGCATGACTGGTAAGAAACAGAAACGGTTCTGATTAATTATGAAGCTACATGATCTTGCAGATTTAATCCTTGATAGAGAATGGAGCATTCTTGCCACCTGATATCAATGATAGCAGATTTAATCCTCCACTACAATAACGGGCCTATGAGGCTCTAGTTGAAGCGACTTCGACATGAAGACTTATCTGCGGGGTAGACATCTTACAGCTCTGAAAGTTAATTCGCTTTAATTTCAGGGATTTTGTTGATGTTTGGATTTGTCTTGTGTGAATAAATGTACAATTGGACTAAGCAACTTGCTATGCATGATTTGCCTAATGTATGGGGTTGGGTTACAAATTACAATGTTAATATTTTGGATACTCCTGTAATGGAAAAAAATGATATTCGATTGTGATATGTTGTGCTTTTGTTGATAGAGTCATTTATGCATTGTGTGCATGCAATATTGCATTTTAAGTTTTGATGAATTATTCGGGACAATAACCTTTTCGGTTCTTTATTTTTTGTTAATATGTTTGGATTTGTAGATCTTATTTTCAAAGGATCGCTTTATTCTTTTAACGAAAGTTTTCACACTTAGATTTGATTAATTATTATTATTTTATAGAAGATTATGAGTTATTTCAAATACTAAATAAGTTAATTCAAGTGCAGCGAATGTTTCCTTTAGTTGTGAAATTTTATTTAAATTGAATATGATAAAAAAAAATTATGATTATATTATTTGAAATTTGATTTTACAATAATATAGTTTGTTTATATTGTATGAAAAGGAGATTACTTTATAAATAGAATTATTAAAAGTTAAGGACATGGAAATATGGAATGATTTAATTAGATTATGCAGTTTTGATGTTTTGTGGTGAATATCATTAAAATGCTTAAAGAGTATGAAATAGTAAAAATAATAAAATTGTAATTTTAATGTTAAAAATCTAGTTTTATTCCTGAAAGTAATTTTCTAGTATAACATGACAATTATAACATTTTGCCTATAACAATTTTTATGATAGAAAAATCTTATGATAAGAATACATGATTTAACTATGGGGAATATGTTTCTTATGTTCTATAATTTAAATTATTTTATACAATACATAAAAAAAAATCAATGGGACCTACCAAGGAGAAGGGAGATAAAGAAAAAAGTGAGTTCTATCATTTTTTTTTATGTATTGTATGAGATAAATTATCTTATGTAAAATGAAAAATATATTTTTTATTAACTATATAGCAGACAAAAGCACGAATCGAAGGTTATCAGCCTAAGGAATCATAAACTGTAATAAAAAACCCAAACATAATCGCTCCAAATCGAAAGCAAATACCTAAACTGAAACAGTTATACTCTGGTTGCACACATTTTGAAACCATTTTGGACATTACCGTAAACTATGCATTCCACGTTTCCTAAAGAACTGTTACAAGAGTTTATTTCGCCACTACAAAAAAACTGGTATTTGGAGGCTGTTTATTAGAGGCTGTTTCACTTAAATCGCCTCCAATTGATACATAGAGGCGGTGCTTCCGGCGGTTTAATTGATTCGAGGCGGTTAACGTGAAACCGCCTCCAAATGTAAATTAGAGGCGGCTAAAATAACCGCCTTCATTTAACATTCAGAGGCGGTTACATTGAAACCGCCTCTAATTACTACATTTAGAGGCGGTTAAACCATAACTACCTACAAATTATATTAGACGCTGTTAAAATAACCGCCCCCATTGACCATTTAGAGGCAGTTGAGATATAATCGCCTATAAATGTAGCAATTAGAGGCAGTTATATTAAAACCGCCTCTGAATGGTAAATTGCGGCGGTTATTTTAACCACCTCTAATATACATTTGGAGGCGGTTTCACATCAACCACCTCAAAATATACATTAAAGGTGGTTAAAATAACCGCCTCCATAGCATATTTAGAGGCGCTTCATGATCTATTGTGCAGTGAGATTCAAAGAAGAAAATCTCTTTGTTCAGCCGTTGGATTGTCCTCAAATTTGGTTAATGTGTTCTTCTCTTGTAATACTTTAATCTAACCGTTCAGATTTTTAAGTTGAATTATCTCGTGTTATATATAAATTTCTAAAGGTGACTGTTGCACATTGAAAAAAACCATCTCTCCTTCACTTTGAAGTCCCACATTGGATGTCACTTGTTCCTCTTTCTCTATTCTCTTCTATATAAGAACCCACACTAACACACATATACAAAATTCCATAAGTTATTTATATTCAACTAATAACAATTATATTAACTTTTAAAAATAATTTTTAAAAAAAAATTATATTAACCAATCATTATCAAAAATATATTAAAAATAAAAATTTAAAAATAGAAATTATATTAAATTTTAAAAGTAACAATATTAATATTAAAATTTTAAAATTTATATAATTTTAACCATTTGGAGGCGGTTACACGTTATTTGGAGGCAGTTAATATAATCGCCTCAGACTGTCTTTTGGAGGCGGAAATGGAGGCGGTTAAAATAACCGCCTCAGATTATCTTTTGGAGGCGGTAGTGGAGGTGGTTAAAATAACCGCCTCCGAATATGTTTTGAAGGCGGTTAGAATAACCGCCTCAGATTGTCATGTAGAGGCGGTTAATCCAGCGGTTTCTAAAAACTGCCGCATTTTGCCTCGCGACGGTGATAAACGAGGCGGTTTATGAACCGCAGAACGTAGCATTTAGAGGCGGTTTGAACCGCCTCTAAATGCAAATATAACCGCCTCTAAATACCAGTTTTTTTGTAGTGCGCGATGGATGGAAAATATACAAGCTCATCTATAAAGTATTATATTTAATTATTTATTAATATAATGAGAATGATGATGAACCAAATAATCAGGAAGGCTTTAATATTATCCAATTCAATCCAAAATCTTAAGCGATAAAGTAAATGTTATATTAATAATTTTATATGTTAAGGAGATATATTTTTACTTCAGTATAAGAATAAAAAGTTTTACTCTTTTAATTTCTGTCCATCTAATGGTTATAGTTTATTGAGTTATATCAATTAATTACTTATTAATTCCAAATAAATTATAGTCGTTAGATAAACTAAAATCAATAATTGAGATAGAGAGTAAGACTTCTTAGTCTTACACTAGAGTAAATGTAACATCCCAAATGCTGGCAAGGGTAGGGAGTGATCGCTGGTGCAAAAGAGGCACGAACAATGAGCGGCTCGTGCCAAATCTCGCAGCTGAAGGTACATGAATGAATTGAATCAACACCTGAAAGAGAGAGATTCCAGAGACTGTGCAGGTACATGAATGAATCGAATCAACACCCGAAAGAGAGGGATTCCATAAATTGTTTAGGTATGGGACTGCACATTTGGGAATAACTTATAAGAATTAATTTATACTACTTATACTAACAAGATGCATCTACTTTTCGATAGTCCGAAAAAGAAGAACTCCATAGTTAAGCATGTTTAACTTTGAGCAATTCTGGGAGGGTGATCTGCTGAGAAGTTTTCCCATGAAGTATATGAGTTAGGACAAAGCACGCTGGAAAGTCTCATATTAGTTTGCGGGGACAGTCATTGATCTTGCAAGCAGCAAGGCGTTACAATAAAAATATGATTTATTTTTTATATTATGTTTCTCTAATAAAACTGTAATAAAAAGCGACCGATATCACTACTCCAGAATTTCAAAAATAATAACTCCTTTTTGTGGAGGTAATGCAATTAGACTATAGTTGGAGGAAATGTCATACTGCATTTTTATTCTTAGTGCTTTTTAAATGTGAATGGACAACTACAAGGAAAAACATTTAAGATAAGAGGTAACATGCATATGGAAAGATATCAAACATCTCCTGGCATTAATTAGTAGCAATAGTACGATAATGCCTCTACATCATGTTTTTTATTGGATAGCCTCCATTAAATTCTTGAAGGGAAAAGACTTTTGATTAGATTGATCTTCTTGTTGACATCAATCATACTCATTCTTTCTTTTGGAGATTCCACTGAACAGACAAGTGCAATCTTAAAAAGAGAACGCAAACAGTTTTCTACATTAGGATGCATAAGGCTAAGGTTCTCATTGTCAGTGGCATTTTCTACATCGGTGAGAATAGTCAGGTCCACAATCTGCAAAAGGTGATTCGAAAGTGAAAATTTAACATAATCATGGAGATTGTGACCATCATTAAACATTTCATCTGTGGGTCTCCTTCCGGTTAACATTTCTAAAATCAGAATTCCAAAGCTATACATATCGCCTTCAATTGACACCTCGGAACCCATTCCATACTCTGAAATATAATGCAAATCAGTAAATGCCATTAAAGATATAAAAAAGTTAACCCAAAAGGAAATAAAAGGTCCATAAACATTAGCTAAAATTTGAAAAGAATTTTTTTTACAACTTAACAAAACAATATTTGGGTATACCTGGAGGAGCATAACCAATAGTTCCCTTTATTCCAATTGTGCTACTTTGCGTCAAAGAGACTCCAACACTTGAGAGCAATCTTGCTAGGCCAAAATCACTCACATGAGCCACCATGCAATCATCAAGAAGAACATTACCCGGCTTCAAATCACAATGAATGACAACTTGCTCACATTCATAGTGAAGATAATAGACTGCTGAAGCAACATCATTAATAATATTTAACCTTTCCTCAAGGTTCAATGATCTAGGCCGATCTGCAATATCTGCTGCTGGATGCAACCAACTTTCTAAGCTTCCATTTGCCATGTACTCAAACACAAGAGCTTTAAATTCTTGACCTTTGAAATCTGTGCTAGAACAACATGTTAAAATCTTAACCAGATTTCGATGCCTAATATTTTTAAGTGCATTGCATTCAGCAATGAAACTCGTATGAGCTCCCTTTTGTTGAAGATTTAGGACCTTTATGGCAACAATTGTGTCTTCTGGCTCAATAGTTCCTTTGTACACAGAGCCAAAACTTCCAGATACTATCAAGTTTCTTATTGAAAACCCATCGCTTCCAAGGTGTAGGTTTTGGTATGAAACCTTGGCCAGCTGGTCAATTGTTGGTGAATCAAAAGATGGTTTCTTTCGTGTTTTCCTCTTCCAATAGAATGTGAGAATGAATGACAATATGATAAGAAAAGCAACTACACTAACTATTGCTGCTATCAACCTGAAATTATGGTGTTTTGCATGTTGATCACCTTTGACAGGGCATGGCGGTAGATGCGGCTTTGAAACACCTCCACAAAGATTGTCGTTTCCAGTCACTGCTAACTCACTTGCGTTTCGAAAGACACCTTGTGTTGGTACCTCACCATCCAACATGTTAAATGACACATTTAAGTATTCTAAGAAAGCAATATTTTGCAAAACACCAGGAATTGATCCAGACAAGTGATTTTGTGATAGGTCTAAATGTCGAAGACCTTTTAGTGAAGCCAAAGAGGATGGTATGATTCCATGGAAGGAATTCCCCTGCAAATAAAGGTACTCCAAGCTTGAGCATTCTCCAATGGTTCCAGGAATATTACCAGATAGGTTATTCTTAGAGACATCCATCTCATCAATATTTTTCAATTGGCCCACTTCACCTGGTAGACTACCACTCAATGAGTTGTGTGACAAGTCTAGTAAATTTGTTAAAGAGGAAAGACTAAAAATCTCTAAGGGTATGGTTCCTCTAAGGTTGTTTCGGGAAAGGGCTAGATATTGTAGCTTTTGGCAGTTTCGTATACTTAGAGGAATGTTTCCTTCTAAAAAATTTTGGTCTAAACCTATATAATACAACAAACTGAGGTTGCCTACGATGGATGGTATATCTCCTGACAACTTGTTTTCACTCAAACCTAAAACTTGCATATTGTGAAATTTTCCAAAAGTAGATGGAATAATACCCTCAAAACTATTTTTTTCCATGGTCAAGAGAATAAAACTAATTAGATTTCCTAACTCTGCAGGAATTTGTCCTAATATTTGATTACCCCCAATAAATAGTTCACTGAGTTGGGAGGATAAATTGCCTAAGCAATTTGGCAAATGACCTCCAAAATTATTGTAGGCCATATCTAACACTTGTAACTTACTACAATTGGACAATGATTTCAAAAACTCCAAATCCATAGTTAAATTGTCACCTAGATTGGAGCGAGCCATTTGCAGGAATTGCAGCTCTCTTAGCTTCCCCAGACTGGGAACTTGTCCTACAAAATAGTTTCTACTGATATCAAGTGATTGAAGGACAAAAGCATTTGCAATGGAAGTGGGGATTGGACCTGACATTTGATTCTTGCCAATTTCAAATACTTGGAGATTTGGAAGGGTGCGGAACATGTTTGGAGGAAGAGAGCCATTAAATTTATTCAATGGAACTGAGATTAAAGTAAGAGATGACATATTGTAAAGACAAGAAGGAAATGTACCCGACATTTTGTTGGAAGCCATTGATATAAATGTCAGGTTTTTTGGGCGGCATATTTCTTGCGAAATATCTCCCTCCAGGTTATTGAAGGCCATCGAGAAAAAAGTTAGGGATGAAAGGTTCCATATGAAGGGTGGGAACCCTCCGGTTAAATTGTTTTTTGCAACAGTAAAATATTGAAGTTTCCTTAGAGATGCAATTTCAATTGGTATTTTGCCAATCAGATTGTTCCCAGCTAAGAATAAGCCTTTGAGAGAAGAGAAACATGTCAAGTTTGTAGGAATTCCACCGGTCAACAAATTGTTGATGAGAGAGAGTTGCTGCAGTTGTAACAATCGACCCAATTCTTGTGGGATTTTTCCGAAGAAGCTGTTATTTGCGAGGTTGAGGTTTATAAGAAAAGAGAGATTGCCAACTTGTGGAGATATGAGCCCATGCAATTGATAACCTTGTAGGTTCAACTCGGTAACTCTTTGGTTCATGGGGTTGCATGTGATTCCATGCCAGTTGCAAAAGTGGGTAGAACTATTCCATGAAAACAAGATTCCATATGGGTCACTGGATATTAATTCCTTTAATTTGAGCAATGCCAAATGGTCAATTTGGTTTCCCAATGTAGAGGCAGTTGTGTTTGGGCCAAACCACAATGAGTTCACAGTAAAGAGAAGAAATAGGTGAAGGAATGTAGAGCAAAATGCAAGTAACATGAGAGAAAAAGGCTTCATTTTTTGGGTTGAGGAAGACAAGACGACTCGAGTTTGATAATTGGATAGAAACAAGGAAGAGGGATATTACTTCCTTGTGTTACTCTATGCACTTAAATACTGGAGGCATTTACATGGACTTAGGTGTGAAGAGAAGAAAAAGGACAACGAAGATGCAAACAGATGGGGCCAGATCAGTGGGAATTTAATAATAACCAATAACCCCTGAATTGGTCCATTGACAATAATGAATTGTACTATTGCAGTAACTTTTTATAGATTGAAAGGCTATCTATTATTAAGCGTTGAGATAAGATACATTGTGAACGACTGAGTGAAGCAATTAAGAAAGTATCAGGTACAAACTCGAGATTTCAAGTTGGAGCAATTGGCTCAAAAGTAAGTAGAACATCACATATTAATCAAATAACTCAGTAGGAATTAAATTAAGAATTTATTCTCTCAAATTAATATTATAATAATTTATAATGAAATTTAAGTAGTTGAGTGTATTAAAACGAAGATATATAAGAATTTCTTTATGTTTAGCAAATAAAACTTGTCCTTTTCTCACTCTTCTGTTTTTATCTCTCTTTGATTTTTCCTCTAATTTAGCTTACTAGTAAAAGTGGGTGCACGTCTGTTTGTTTTTGGGTGGGAGCAAAGGAAACTAAGCTATCCTCTCTCTTTGGATGAAATTAGCTATGTGAATTGATTAAGAACATATAGAAAGCAAAAAGATATGACTTAAAAAAGGGAACAAGCAAAAACAGAACACTAAAGTGGTAGATGTGAACAAAAATGTTACATCCAAACAGTAATCATTCTGGTTGAAAGAGTAACATAACTATATACGGAGGGAAAAAAATGAAGTTCTTTAGTAAATTCCACCATGTTCATTCTTTCATTCGTTGATTCCACTTAACAAACAAGTCCAATCTTAACTAACATGCAAAAGCAAGTGGAATATGCCAAGGGGTCAAAACATTGTGAGGTTCGCTGGCTGTTCATTCTTTAATTAGGAGGTATGCTCAACACATTTGAATACTTTTAGAGCATCTGCATGTGCTCCATAGAAATTACCTATCCATTATTACAGGTAATGTTGTGTTATATGTTTCACATTTATTTTGTAGAAAATTTTGATTCCGGACCTACTTAGATTATGATATAGTCTAAGAAGATAGGCCCACTATATCTTTCATCTCCTTAGCCACAATGAGTTCAAAGTAAAGATCGAGAAGAAAAAGATGAAAAATTTGGTTGAGGAAGGGGAGGTTGCGAGATGGTGTGAATGCGATAACTTCTTGTGAGATTGCTACCGATTGATTGATATAAATAGTGGAGGGAACATACATATTGTATGAATTTCTCCTTAATCAGATTGCTTTGAGTCTTGGTCATTTTATCTTATCAAGAAGCCAAAGAAGAATTCCAGTTCAATTTTAAACAATTAAAGTGTACAATATGCCTAGCAACTTAATTACAAGGTTGTCATGACAATATTTTTTTCCCACACACTATACAAAATCAATCTATAAACATCTATTGCCGAAGGTTACATCAGGAACTCAGCAATAGATTATATAACCTGGATAGGTAGCAATTGAATTTAGAGCGGATATTTTAAAAATAATTTTGATTGGGCCTTCACTTGACAGTTTAAACTTTTGGTTTGAAATTGTAGTTTACATATTAAGAAGGAGACAAAGCTTTAAGGATGTTGAGATTGAGAGTTGAAAGACATTTAACCAACCAATGCGAGGAATGCCAAAGAGGAATTTAAGAATGCTTTTATTCTAAAGATGTGACTTAAAAATAGGATATACGGGAGAGTTAGCATGGCAATTTTCTACAGCTCAAGTATATAAAATAGATTAGTAGAATTAGAAAACAACAAATCTGTAAATTTATGCGTATGTCATTATCATATTTTTATTTTTTTAGAATTCCAAATTAACTTTTACAATAAAAAAGCTATAAATAGATCTCTATAATTTTAAATAAAACATTTAATGAGGTTTTACCTCTGCATCCACAATAATAACATATCTGTTTTATATGAACTTAAAATAGGCTGAGATTAAGACCATATATTTGTTAAGGTTCGCTTTTTCTACAGTTACTGCAGATAAGTTATCTGTAGTAAGCCAAATATGACATCATTTTGGGACAGAAATCATGGTATTTTTGTAATTTTAATTTATTTCAGGGTTATTATAGTCTTTGTAATTATAATTTTCTAATCTTTCAATCCCAAAACGATGTCGTTTTGGAAGTAAATGCAGATAACTTATCTGCATTAACTGCATAAATATTTTTCTCTATTTGTTATGGGAGGGGTTATATTTAAGGTATAGGATCCGTTTACAAACTTTTTTTGCAAATTACACTAAGAACGACCGGTCGTACACTGCATGATTAAAGTATGACCGGTCGTACTTAGAGTAGTTTGTAAAAGTTTGTAAACAAAAAAATTTGTAAATATAACTTGCCCCTATATTTACAACCCAAATAGTTTACAAACTTTTACAACCATATTTAAACCGTTGATTTTCGTCAATTAACAATTGTCATTTATTGTGAATTAATAATTAATTAATAGATTTAATTTTCAAAAATCTTAACCGTTGATTGACGAAAATCAACGGTAAAGATTAATTGTAAGAAGTTGTAAACGAAAATAAGTTGTAAATATAACCCTTCCATTTGTTATATCCTAATTATTTAAATAATTTAAATATGTTTTGATGATTAGAATCAATTTAATATAAATTTAATTGACAATAATCTATTGTCTTAAAATTACTAATAAGCTGATTGTTCGAGATTTCATAATAATATTTATTTTGATATGAAAAAGTATTCAAGATAATTGAAGATATGGAAGATATCATAAAGAGAGAGAAAAACATAGAATCAAGTATAATTTAGGATATATTTTATCTTTTTTAGATTTCATGTAAGAGAAATAAAATATTCTTTATAAAATATTTTGATTAGATTGCATTACATAACAGAATAAGATATTTAATGCTTTACAATTTTTTGAAAAAAATAAGAAATCTTATTTTTAAAGATTGCATTTAAAATTTATTTTTGGTAAAAGATTTCTGGTTAGGTTTTGGAAAATATTTCAAATTTTAAAATTATATCTTTTGGGCTTTTAGGAGAGAGAAAGTGTTATTATTATAAATATGGCTTATTGCACATTATTAATTAGAGGAGAAAATACAAGAGAGAAGAGAGAGAATTAGATTTTCAAGATTATGACTCTTTGTTGTGCATCAATTAAAGTTCTTTATAAAAAACAAGGGAAAAATATTTCTGCAGTTAATGCAGATAAGTTATCTGCATTTATTTTCAAAACGACGTCGTTTTGATATTGAAATCTTAAAAAATTATAAATATAAAGACTATTATAACCCTGAAATAAATTAAAATTACAAAATACTATGATTTCCGTCCCAATACGACGTCGTATTGGGCTTACTGCAGATAAATTATCTGCAGTAACTGCAGAAAAAACGAACCCAAAAAACAATCATTTATACATTTATCTTTTGGCAAAGTGAATATTTCTCCATAAGAATTCAGATTATATATCTGCTTGAGGAAAAGAAGCCCTGAGGTAAATTATTTAAATTATAAAATTCTTCTTGACCTTTTTGAAGGTTTGTACTGGAAAATTTGGATATCAATTCTTGTGCTGAGAAACTGGCATACCAGCATGTCTCTTTTCTTTAAAAATTGAGAGTGACTTGAGAACCCTGATAGGGTTTCGAAATCTAGGATTTCGTACTGGAAATTAGGATACCAAGTGAAAATTTGTGTAAGGGACAGACTACGAAATTGGGATACTAGAGAACTCTTTGTATATAAGTTTCATACTGAAATTGTCCGTCGAATTTCAGTATTCGATATTAAGGCTCATGGTTTTTTTCTCCCTTTTGAATTTTCTACGTAAAAAATATTATATCAATATCTCTCTATCTTTATCATGATTTATTGCTTTGAGTTAATTTTTGATTAGAAAATTATTTTTATAAAACTCAATTCACCCCTCTTGAGTTCATATGGGACCAACACATCTTTATATGTAACTGTTTACATAAGAATGGTATATTTTTAATTAAATATACAATGGGTTTAGCATTTCTCCCATTGAAGGAGATAAAAATATTTCTAACTTTATCTATCATGAGAGGAGAAGTATTTTTCCATATACAATATATAATTGCTATGTATAATATGACTATATAGGAAACAACTCTCCTAACATCATTTTTTTTTCACTTTCTATACTCAAACTTGATATCTCTAGTTATTGGAAACAAACTCATTATCGCTTGACTCAATAATTGTTGAGATAAATTTTAATTAGTTGTTGTTTAGAGATAAAAAATTTATTTTTTTATTTTTTTGCGAGAATTAAAATCTTTAAAAGTTATGATAACGTGAGGTTAATAATAGTGTAAAAAACTCTTAATGTTTATTGATAAATTTTTTTAATAGATTTTATTAATCAGAATTATTTCTTTTATTTAATAGTAAATCTCCTTTATAACCCAATGGGTGCAGCTCAGTTGGTAATTTGGCGATGAGTTAGTAGGGTTGGATATGTGTTTGATTCCCGCTGAATGCATTCTTGGGAAGGGGGCTGAACCTTTAGCCATCACTGTTCCCCCGCACTCCGGATTAGTCCCATAGCCGGCTCAAAGAGTCGAAGCTCGTGGGGATACCGGAGGGAGCCAACTCGTCTCAAAGAGATAATTAGGGTTGGGTAACTCCAGAAAAAAAAAAAAAAAAGTAAATCTCCTTTATAAGTATAAATTATTCTTCTCCATAGTGAAGCTTTATTTTGGGATAAATGGGCAAGTTTGTTAGGACAATCCACCAAACAATAGATAAATAATATAGCAACCGCCCATATGAGACCCTAGACTTGGTCATTCTCACTATATTAATCGTGGAAATTAAAAATTAGTATCCACTAACTCAATTTTCATGGAACTTACATC